TTGGTTCTGCTGGCTTTGGCCACAGCCAATGGGGAGATGAGTCAGGGGCGTGGTCCCGGGAGCCTACGAGGGAGCCTGTAATATTCCATGGAGGCTAACCAGGATTGGTGGAAACGTACCACGTGACCTGGGCATTAAATAGGGGTGGAGACGAACGACACGTGTTCAGAACGGGAACGAACGGAGGAAGTTGCCACGTGGCAGTGCGTCTCTATCTGTCCCTCTCACGCGGCCTGTCAGCAGCGTGAAGGAAAACTGTAATGCAAGTTTAATAAAAGACCGGATTCCAAAAGTCGCCTCAACGACCTTTATTACAAGTGCATTAACCCCCTCCCCATAACATGTATCCATCTATTTAAGACCGAAAAAGGAGGAGGATTTATCCACAACTCTGGCTGTCGCCTGATGATGCTGGTTGTTGTAATCGCCGGCGAAACGTCACGCTACTCGAACTGCAAATGTTGTCGTGGGTTTTCTCTCCAACACGCCCGTGTGCTGAGCCAGTAACTAATTTGCACATTTAGTTTACGTGGCAAACCTTTCTAATTGGTCGGCTGTGGCGGGTTTAACGACACATTTATATTTACGCGATCTAACCCCCCAAAAAACTCGAATATGGATAATACTGATTGCGAAAGCCGCATCCTACTACTACTACCACGTGTTAAACCACCTAGATGCCGTTTGCTTTCAATCAGAATCGTAGCTTAGAGAAGGGGGGCTTGGTGGCTCAAGACACCAGAGCGATGAGACGGGGAACCCTTAATAGCCTGGGTTTGAATCCAGGACTAAGCCATCCTGTGACTAAACCGAGTTCTCTAAGGTGACGAGTTAATGTCACCGGTGACTGCACACACACACACACACGCACACACAAAAGTTCTTGCGACATTAAACTTGGCTCTACACTTAATTGGGATAGATTGCATCTGAGAATGACCATATCTATCCGTGAGCCAGGGGCGATTGGGAAAGTGCTGCCCTCTTCAAGATGTCACTTGAAGGGATCCCAGAGGCAGGTGGAGCGAAACGTCAGACATCGTGCCGAAAAAAAAACCTGCGGTCCGACCCGAAAACGCGTCGCAGAGCTGCACAGCACGATGGCGAAATCCTACGCAGTCATGCCAAACCTGAACACTTGAAGCTCCGTGCAGATGGATTTGATCAATTAATCGCTGGACAGTCACCTGGCCACCTTGCATCCCAAGGCTATAGACTCGGGGTATTACTGCACAGTCGTCCATCCTAGCGCTGTCCAGGCTCCATACGGCTTAGCTTACAAGACACGATGAGATTTGTGTTGCATTCTGGGTGATTTGGTCTCAAGGAATAAACCGCATTGGTCACGGTTAGATTTGGTGACAAGCTTGAAGCCCTGTGGCTCGTATGTACGTTGAACTTCTTTCGCACTGTACGTAGCCAACCGTGATAATCGGAGGTGCGGCTGAGGGGTTTCACATCGGCAATCCCATGGACACTGACCCAGCACCGCATTAAAAACCTGGCTTCGAATCCAGCTTCCGGCCGCCCATAATTTTCCGTAACTCTCAACAAAGTGCGGTGAAATTTCGATTTAAAGCTTTCGTGACTGCAGGGATTCATCTTCTTGGTTCTTTCGGTAAAGTCACGTAGAATGGAAATAATGAAATAATAAAAATAAAACATAATAAAATAATTCTCACGACGTTTCGGCCACAACGCAAGCAGCCGTCCTCAGGTGAAGAATAGGTCAGTCATTCAGACTCTGTCTTCTCGACAGACCTGTTCTTCACCTGAGGACGGCTGCTTGCGTTGTGGCCGAAACGTCGTGAGAATTATTTTATAATGTTTTATTTTTATTATTTCATTATTTCCATTCTACGTGACTTTACCGAAAGAACCAAGAAGAAAAAGTGCGGCGAGTCGGACGGTCTCAGCCGCGAGGGTCCCCAACTACCCACCCGCCCCACGGCGTAGAGCCGCGATACGGCACGATCTCTGGGCGGTGAGTTTTTGTCGCTACCGTTCGACACAAAGAGACGAGACTCGCAGGGCGGCGACGGCGGCCAAGGAGGTCGCCGTGTGGCGCGCCGTGTGGCGCGCCGTGTCTCGCCGGCATCGCCGCCAGTATCGGCGGCGAAACCGCTACGCGCCGCAAGCTCTCGCTAGCGGGGGGACTCGTGGTTGAAAACAATAAAACCTCGTCGCTCCGCTGCCGGCAAAGAACACCGTAGAGGCGGTGAGAGAGGGTGAGTAGAGATGGTGAGGGGGGGTGGGTAGAGATGGTGAGGGGGGGGGGTGAGTGGAGGTGGTGAGTAGAGGCGGTGAGGGGGGGTGAGTAGAGATGGTGAGGGGGGTGAGTAGAGGTGGTGAGGGAGGGTGAGTAGAAATGGTGAGGGAGGGTGGGTAGAGGTGGTGAGGGGGGGGGGATGAGTGGAGGTGGTGAGGGAGGGTGAGTAGAGATGGTGAGGGGGGGTGAGGGAGGGTGAGTAGAGATGGTGAGGGGGGGTGGGTAAAGGTGGCGAGGGGGGTGAGAAGGGGTGAGTAGTGGTGGTGAGGGAGGGTGAGGGAGGGGTGGGTAAAGGTGGCGAGGGGGGTGAGAAGGGGTGAGTAGTGGTGGTGAGGGAGGGTGAGGGAGGGGTGGGTAGAGGTGGCAAGGGGGGGTGGGTAGAGGGGGTGAGGGAGGGTGAGGGGGGGGTGGGTAGAGGGGGTGAGGGATGGTGAGTAGAAGTGGTGAGGGGGGGTGGGTAGAGGGGTGAGTAGAGATGGTGAGGGGGGGGTGGGTAGAGGTGGTGAGGGATGGTGAGGGGGGGGTGGGTAGAGGGGGTGAGGGATGGTGAGTAGAAGTGGTGAGGGGGGGTGGGTAGAGGTGGCGAGGGGGGGTGGGTAGAGGGGGTGAGGGAGGGTGAGGGGGGGTGGGTAGAGGTGGTGAGGAGGGGTGAGTGGAGATGGCGAGGGAGGGTGAGGGGGGGTGGGTAGAGGTGGCGAGGGGGGGTGGGTAGAGGGGGTGAGGGAGGGTGAGGGGGGGGTGGGTAGAGGTGGTGAGGGGGGGTGGGTAGAGATGGCGAGGGATGGTGAGGGGGGGTGGGTAGAGGTGGTGAGGGATGGTGAGTGTAATTAAACTCTCTCTCCCCTCCGCCCCACTCGCCCCTATCTGCGCCGTTTGATCAATTGTTCAATTATTCACGTGGACGGGACAGCATTTTTAATTATTCCGTATTTTACATAAACGATTACTTGCAGCGAAGAAAAAATAACAACGCATCATCATTACCCCCCACGGGCACCGCCACCTCTTGTGTTGCCACGACACCACTTGGCCCCGGTGGCAACGGGTACCACCAATGTACGCGTGATGAAGCTGGCTGTAATTGCTGGAGAAACGTCGTACACTGCACATCTTGTGGATTTACTCTCCAACACACAACCGGTGTTTGCTGGACTAGTAACGAATTGGCCACGTTCTGTTCAAGTGACAAACCTTACTGATTGACTGTGTCGGGTGGTGGCGGGTTTAACGACACGTTTATATATTTACGCGATCTAACCCCCAAAAAAATTTACCCGTAAAAACAAAGTTTTTCACTATAAATCCTATATATGCGTGGCGGCTAGAGTCCTCTTGTCCTCTGGCTTGAGATGGCTGCCACCTATGGGTCAGATGATTGTCTGCCAGCATTAAGCAATTGCTAATTAAATATTTAAAATAAATTCCCTAAACAGTGTAAAATTTTGGAAAAAAATTTTCACGAAAATTAATTGTCACGCACAACCAGTCTGTGTGGAAAATGTCAGCTCGATTGGATCACGGGAAGTGGGTTAAAAAACGACCGAAAGATTTGCACGGTCGTAAGCAAGCAAGCAAACACGCAAGCAAGCAAGCGAACTTAATATAAAGGATTTAAAACAACTCTGCATTATGGATGTTGAACTTATTTAGCACCGTACGCAGCCAACCGTGCCCATTGGAGGTGCGGACCTTCTCCAGTCCACCCAGCAATCCGGAAAATACTCCGCGAGAGATTGAATCCCGAGCGACCGAGTCGGATTTCAACTGGCGACGAAGGAGCGGTCAATCGGTGCACGGCTCGGCCACGGTGAAGAAGGCAAGAGTGGAGGAGGTGGGTGGAGCAGGTGAGGGTGAGCAGAGGTGAGGGGTGAGGATGAGGGACAGTTGAGGAGGAGAGGGTGAGAACGACAAAGACGAAGATGATAATTGTTCTTTTACCATTCTATCTGGCAACAAAACTGACACCTTTTTTTACAAGGTGTCATGTTTACATAGACCACAATACCTGCAGTCATAATGCAAACAAAAAACATAACTCTGATAATGTATGCACTGTCCTTGAAGTTGATTGGTCCACACCCGAGACAGCTTTCGCCAAAAGGCGTCATCTGGTCCAACCCATGTGAGACTAGGCTCTAAGGAAAGCTGTCTCGGGTGTGGACCAATCAACTTCAAGGACAGTGCATACATTATCAGAGTTTTGTTTGCATTATGACTGCAGGTATTGTGGTCTATGTAAACATGACTCCATGTAAAAAAAGGTGTCAGTTTTGTTGCCAGATAGAAGGGTAAAAAAACAATTATCATATTTTTACTGGCAAATGAGGTTCCAAAGACGAAGATCCCCCATGCAGCACTGCCGAGGAGGTCCAGGTTTAAGTCGCCTGAAATAAAACCGCGCTCTCCAGCCTTACGTAACGCTCCCGCTGCTAGAAATAAAACAAAAATCCCATTGACCAACATTTCTCCCCGTCTCAAGGAGGTTGGCTGAGTGCTACCCCCGAGTGTGTGTGGGTAAGAGGTTCCTTGACGAGATCTCAGAAGCAGTTCTGTGATGTCTCCGCACAACTGGCGTGCAATTACATTTATTGAACGTTGGCAACAACGGAGCGACGGCATCAGCCCGCGAGCGTTGCATCGCGCACTGGGTGCATTGCGGGGACCGTGACTAGTTGGCAACGGCTCGTGGAGACCTTTGTCCATCCAGCAGTGGGTAGATCATGCGCCTCACCTTTCTGCGATTCATGCCATCCAAACACTCCCCAGCGGGGCAGCACGGAGAGGCAGACGATCAGCTGACTCGGGCCCACGCTGTCCACCAACAGGTAGAGTGGGGCTCTCTCCTCGACCCCAGCCTGGCACAGGAACGCACAGACAAATGTACACGCGCTCACACAGGCACGAGAGTACACGCACGTACGACAATCGGTCGTCCCGCGGGTCACCGGGTTTGGAGCGCGGCACGCTAACCGCCGCAACTACCGCTCACCACACAAGCAGAGATACAGACGCGTACGCAGAGACGACGTTGACCCTTGTGTAGACTCAACAGACCGTTGGGGCAAGTGCTGTTGGTGTTTGCACACAGCGTTGGTGTACGGTGCTTTTTCTGCAATATTTTGCTGTCTTTTCTTGGATTTTATGTTTGCACATAGTCCCATAGTCACTTTAAGATGTTTTCTTGTTCATGTTTTTGCTTTTTGTTTGTTGCGGCTGCACCCGATTCCAGAGCCGAATGGCTCACAGGGCTATACCTAATAAATGAACTTGAACTTGAACGCGACACACGAGGGGGGGTGGAACGGGGGGAGGTGGCTAATGACAATTTGGCAAATTGTTCGGGAGTGGGGTGGGTGGGTGATCACCCAGAGACCACCCGAAGTCTGGATATTCTGGAAGCCAAGCAGGCTTGAGCCTGCATAACGCGTGGATGATGAGCGTCCACCGGTATGTGAGTCTGCCGCGGGGCTACGTTGCACGATCCGCTGTTGTACTGCACTATTCTCCCGCGTCTATGCTCGCCAACTTCACCGACACGCACTGACCACTGCGCGCGCCGCGTGCGTCCACGGGACGCTGCCGCCGCCACCCGTTCGGCTTAACTCATCCCCAAAGTCACACCCAACGTATCACGGTCACGGCGGTGAAATTTATGCAGGCCGCGGTATAATTTAATCAGCACCGCCGCTACCTACGAGCAGCCTGTCTAGCAGTTATCGCGGCTCTGGCAGAATGAATTGCCCCATCCAATTGTGTTTTAACTCGCGGTACGGATAGACCAGCCGTGGTGTAATGTTGCCAAGCACGCGCGCGCACACACACGCACACACGCACGCGCACACACGCACGCGCACACACGCGCTCTCGAGTGCACGGGAGCGCACATTAACACTCTCGCGCATGACTTGTACGCACGCTCACACTCAATTGGCACTTGCAAGATTACGCTTGCAAACTCGACTCCGCGATCTAACGCATCTATGTAAAAATACTCGCACACACATCGATACAGCCGGCGTAACGATACACGTAGATTCCAACGGAGTGATTTTGCGGGGAAGTTTTCGAATTCGGCAAATTTGGACCCTGACGCCGTGAGTAAAGCAGATGATGCCGAGTATCATAATCACGGTTAATTCACATTAATTCGCAGTATTAATCAGGGCGGCCGCTGGGTTCGAACCGCGAACCTCTGCAACAAGCAGCGAACACAGCGCTTGCGCTGGCACACGTCACTACTCCACTGGCACGCACACTGGCACACACACCTATACACACACTGGTACACACACTGGCAAAGACAAAGATCCCCCGTATAGCCTTAACAGACTGTAGGGGCAAGTGCTGTTAGCGAGCACCTATGAAGGCCGGCACGGCACACGAGGGGGTGGGTGGCCAACACCACGCCCGGCCGCCTTTGTCTCCCCATTGGCGATGTTTACTACACATCGCACCAGGTACTCATTTGAGGCTGATTCAACCTAGGGGAGGCCCAAGACCGGTTCAGATAATCGCCACTTTCATTGCTCATGAGCGGCAATCGTACTCGGGTCGCCGGGTTCGTAGCGCAGCGCTCTCACAATGACGCTACCAGCGGTGCTGGAATCGCGAATGTGACAGTTCCACGCAGGTGCAGGGATCTAAAAGGCGGCACGCGCGCGGAAACATTACACGTCCTGCTCCGGGGGGGGGGGGGGGGCCTAACGAGACCGGGCCCCCCCATCAGTGCTGGGCCTCTAACGAGCATCTGCCTTAATGGGTCGGGCGCACCTGTGGGGCCTTGGCGACGGTGGCGGTGAGGCTGGCGGTGAGGCTGGCGGTTGAAGAGGTCGCCGCTTTCCCTCCGGCGGCGGCGGCGGCGGCGGCGGCGGTGGCGGCGGCGTTCTGAAATCCACGGGGACGGGAATCAAAACTGGCGGCGCACTTTTGGTGGAGAAGAGGAGGCTGAGCCGGCACCGCCGAGGGGCCTGGGTTCCAACTCGGGCTTCGTACGCGATAGTCCGCATGCACAGCATCACCCACCCCTCCCCCCTCCCCCCTTCCCCCCCCCCGGGCTTACAAATACGTAGTACAGTTGTTTCGTTAATTAAAAGCCGCGTCTGATTACAGCCACCGTTTAAGCCCGGGGGAGCATTGGGTCGCTTGACATGCGATGCGCGACTTGCATCGCACTGCAAATCGACACGTTCCCAAAGGGCATCCCCAGTGGCAGCTTATCCCTGTGTGGCACAAGGCGACTCCGCACTTGGCCTGCGAGCGGGCTTAAGTCTGCCGGTGGGGGGTGGGGGGGGCGCGATGAATGCCCGCTGTGTGTAATCCTAAACGAGCATTTATTGGGTCACGGGACGCTGGCACGCGAGGGCCAAACTCTGTTCCGCACGGCGTCTCTGACGCCCACAGGCTGACGGCGCCTAGCATTTTCACGGTGAATCAGAGGTCGCAACCGGGTACCCGATACCCGTACCCTACCCGATACCCGGCTACCCGTAGCCGGCCGGGTACGGGTACCCGTTTGCGACCCTGGTGCGGCCGGGTACGGGTAGGCCGTGAGTCACTGGTGAGTAACCGTTTGTCACTCATTTCCCAACGTCTTGTCTCTTCTCACAATTCAAGTTCCTAGAATCAACCCACCCGCGCCTGCAACATGGCTTCATCCCAGAGGTCGCATGCGGGTACCCGATACCCGTACCCTACCCGTACCCGGCCGGGTACGGGTAGGGTACGGGTACGGCCGGGTATGGGTACCCGTTTGCGACCCTGGTGCGGCCGGGTACGGGTAAGGAATCAAAACCCGTTTGCGACCTCTGCGGTGAATACACCCGGCGGTGTTGATCAGGACGGCCTGCCAGATGCGAACCCCATCTCCTGCAACAGGCCGCTTTGCAACCCGCCCCCCACCTCTTAACCCCCCCTGCCCACGCTTGCCATGGAATTCCCAGCGCATGACAAACGATTGCCCGGGTAGTCCGTGTTTGAAATGCAACCGATTGCAGCGCAAGGCTCGCCATACTCTGCCCTGACACGTGTTACATTTGATGCAATCGTGATTGCAACCCTTGTTTTTCGGATGAGCGGAATAATAAATGTCACGTTACTTTTAAAAGTATATATATATCTGTAAAGCTTTTTTCTTGTTTTACGCGATCGATCGGGGCACCCACGGCATTTCTGAGAATTAATCATTTCAGCCGCACTGATTCAGCGCAGGCAACAACTCTCGACCGGTTTCAAGCCACGGAGTCAGGCTGGCGCGAATCAACGCTGGTGAGCTGCCCTTTGTCGAAGGCGAGGAGGAGCCTCGGTGTTCGACATGGGTCCTAGACCAACGCTAAATTGTACGTAACGTAACGCTAAATAATCATTCGCGTCATCGCGGAAAGAATAAAAATAACGCAACGGACGGGCGGACAAAGACGTCCGCATCACACATCCGTCTGCACATAAAACAATAAAATAACAACAGTATTTCTTCACGCAATCCCCCCACCCCCCGCACCCAGCAGCCTTCTGGGAGTGAATAGTTTCAGCGGCATTGATTCGGCGTGAGCAAAAACCCTGGATCGGTTTCGACACCCCGGCGCGTCGTCGCACGCACCGCCGGCCGGCTCGGCGTTGGAAGCGAGGACTCGCCGCCCGTCCCTCGAGTTCGCCGCCCATCGACCCGAACAATTTTCTTCCACCTTCGACGTCGCCGCGTCGGGCACAGATTCTCGCGGCAATTATCTAATTTTCAAAGAGCCACTCGCGGCCAAATTCTTGCAGCGGATTTTTCAAAAGCTCCCCCCCACCCACCCACCCACCCACCCCCGCCAACACCCAACCCCCCGCCCCCAAGAGACACCCTGCGCTCAATTCCTCTTTGAAACCTAAACAGCGGAACGCGATGCGCTCGCCGCGAAAAATGAAAGAAGAAAAAATTCAAGAAGAACAAAAGAACGTTGCACGCAGCCGAGACCGGCGACACAGAAGGCCTTGGGGGGGTGGGGGGGGCGGGAGGGGGAGGGGGTGGCGGGGAGAAATCGCGGATGGAGACAGCGGGATGACAATGGAAGGGGGAACTCTCTCCCTGCGGCACCGCGGCCGGCAAGGCGCGTGGTGACGCGCTTGAGCGGCAGGGACGCTCGCTGCCTGCCGCGGTGGTTCCCGGTTCCATCCCCGTGGCCGCCGCGGTTAATCAAGATCAAGTCTTCTTGGTTCTTTCGGCAAAGTCACGTAGAAGGGAAATAATAAAATAATAAACCATAATAAAAATACAATTCTCACGACGTTTCGGCCACAACGCAAGCAGCCATCCTCAGGTGAAGAACAGGTCTGTCGGAAAGACAGCATCTTCACCTGAGGACGGCTGCTTGCGTTGTGGCCGAAACGTCGTGAGAATTGTATTTTATTATGTAGAATTTTTATTATTTTATTATTTCCCTTCTTCGTGACTTTACCGAAACAACCAAGAAGATGAATCCCTGCAGTCACGAAAGCTTTAAATCGAAATTCAAGATCAAGTCGTCGCGGCGGCCATGCTGCACGTGGCTGCCCGTGATCCAGCACTGTGGCAGCAGCAGCAGTAGCAGCAGCAGCAGTAGCAGCAGCTGCAGCATCAGCAGCAGCATCAGCAGCAGCAGTAGCAGCAGTAGCAGCAGCAGTAGCAGTAGTAGCAGCAGCAGTAGCAGCAGCAGCAGTAGCAGCAGCAGTAGCAGCAGCAGCAGTAGCAGCAGCAGTAGCAGCAGTAGCAGCAGCAGCAGTAGCACCAGCAGCAGTAGCACCAGCAGTAGCAGCAGCAGCAGTAGCAGCAGCAGCAGTAGCAGCAGCAGTAACAACAGCTGCAGCAGCAGCAGCAGTCAGCAGCAGCATCAGCAGCAGCAGTAGCAGCAGCAGTAGCAGCAGTAGCAGCAGCAGCAGTAGCAGCAGCAGCAGTAGCAGCGGCAGCAGCGGTAGCAGCAGTAGCAGCGGCAGCAGCAGCAGTAGCAGCAGCAGCAGCAGCAGTAGCAGCAGTAGCAGCAGCAGCAGTAGCAGCAGTAGCAGTAGCAGCGGCAGCAGTAGCAGCGGCAGCAGCGGTAGCAGTAGCAGCAGCAGCAGTAGCAGCAGCAGCAGTAGCAGCAGCAGCAGCAGCAGCGAGGTTTGGTGGATCACCGCACAGATGGCAAAATGTTGCGAGACTCCCTCCTTGTACCGGAGGGCGTCGAGGACGTGCTGTACCCCCTGGCTCGCCGATAGAATGCAGTGCAGCAGCAAAGTGTGGGCCGGTATCATGAACCGTCCCTTCTTTGTGGGATCGAGCGTTGCCCCCTCGCACGCACGGCGGGGTTGTCTCCGGGTGCTCCGATTTCCTCCCGCATAAACAACACTCACTAATTGGCTGAAAACGTCTCAGAATGTAAGGGACTGCAGAGCTATCGTTGGTAACGCCGGCTCACCGCCTGGCAGCCTTCCAGCTTCGTCTGCGGTGCCTTCTCAGCGACTGCGAGATGCAATTTGCATGAATGACGACGGCTCAACCAACGCCTTCTGCTCTCCGCCAAATCCCGCAGCCGCCGCACCGCAGAAATCTGCCGCAACCGCATCCCTCCGCTCCTGCGACAACCCCTGCCGAGGCCAGGGGTGTCCCTACTGTGGGTGCCACGGTGGCTAGGGGATGTTAACTACCTGGCCTGGTGAACAGGAGGACGTGGTTCTAGATTTGAAGCTTTCGTGACTGCAAGGATTCATATTCTTAGGTTTTTTTCGGTAAAGTCACGTAGGTAAAAAATTAAAATTAATTTTTTAAATTAAAATAATTTTTTTTTATTTTTAAAATTAAAATTAATTTTTTTACCTACGTGACTTTACCGAAAAAACCTAAGAATATGAATAGGAGGACGTGGGTTCAATCCCGAGCCTGACACCTGCTGTGTTAGTAGACTTTGCGTGTCTCTCTCCCCGTGGTCGCGTGGACTTTTCTCAGGGTCCTGCGATTTTTCTCTCCATATTTAGAATCGACGACACGCGTTTAGAGTATTTGTCTGCTGCTGTGAATGTCCACGTGATAAGCCACTTCGTTGAGCTGTCATTTGTGGCCAGGTCGCTTCTGAAAGAGAGCCATGTCGCTCAGTGGGCCTTACCCGGTAAAATCAATCATCAATCAATCATCAAATTAAAACGAGGACTCAAAAATTCCACGATTTTTGTCTAAAGATTTTCCGAGCTGGATCAAATCGTGCTGTGGGTTGTCCATTAACAACAATCTCTAACAATGTCGTGGATAATGATAACATAATAACAATAGGTTTAACCCTTTCTGGCAATAACACATGAGGTGTTCAGATGTTCAAACAGCAAATGGATACCTTTTGTGTGGCATCAATTCTGCATTAACCACACATTCTCGTAGTTAAACATGCAAACAAACACGCTCTGATAATACAATACAAGCATTGTCTTTGAAATTGATTGGCCTACACCAGAGACAGCCTCCTCTAGAGTGAGACCAGAAGAACAAAGTCGAAATGCGAACAGCACAAAGGCAATGCCCGGGTTGATTGAACATCTGGTGGACGAGCGGGCGGACGAGCGGGCGGGCAAGTGGGCGGGCGAGCGAGCGAGCGGGTGGACGAGCGGGCGGGCGAGCGGGCGGGCAAGGCGCCACGCATGCACCTGTCCCCATCGTCGTGGATATGCAGTCTCGCGAGACTCACCGTGGGCTCGACAATGGCGAGATGTTAGCTACCTCTCGTGGTATACAGGAGGTAGTGGGTTCGATTCCGACCCAGACGCATGAATATTTAGAGATTGCGTGTCTCTCTCCCCGTGGTCACGGGTCCTCCAATTTTTCCTGCCAAATTTAGACTCAACATGATGCGTTTTGGAGTATTTGGCTGTTAAACATTTACAAATTATGAACCACTTCGTTGATCTTCTTGGTTCTTTCGGTAAAGTCACGTAGAAGGGAAATAATAAAACAATAAAAAATAAAACATTATAAAATACAATTCTCACAACGTTTCGGCCACAACGCAAGCAGCCGTCCTCAGGTGAAGAACAGGGCTGTCGGAAAGACAGCGTCTGAATGAAAGCTTTAAATCGAAAAAAAATCCACTTCGTTGAGTTATCATTTGTGGTGAAATGCAAACAAAAGTTTCGTTTATCTGGTTGCAATCTCATTGTGTTCGCACAGCGACGTCATGGCGATCTTCCAACTGATCTAATTTTGACTTCCCCGTGAGCTCACAGTGATTTAACAAGTTTCACGATACCATAGTGATGTCACGCCGATGTCATAGCTGTGTCACTGCGATCTCCATGGTTATCTCGCAGTCATCCGATTGTCATTTCACAAGACTCACTGTGATATCGTGATCTCACACTGACCTCATTGTGATGTCACTGTCACTACACGAGGCAAGTTTCACGAGACCCAAAACATCCCACTAAAATCTCTCACGGCAGGGCTGTACATACACAGCAGTGTCCACAAAGACAAAGATCCCCCGTACAGCCTAAACATACTGTTTGGGAAAGTCCTGTTAGCGAGCAGAACCTATGAAGGCCAACACGGCACACGAGGGGGGGGGGTGGGTTAGCAACACCACGCCCGGCCACCTTTGTCTCCCCAGTAGCGATGTATTAATTTATGTTTTCATCAGAATCAGAATATATCTACTGGAGGAATCCGATGAGCTATAAAGCTCTTTTTCACAGAACGTTACAACAACAAACAGTCCAACAACTACTCATTTGAGGCCGAGTCGACCTAGGGTAGACACATAACCAGCTCAGACAATCGTCAACTGGTGTTGGCCGTAAGCGGGTATCGAACTCGCACGCACACGCGCAGACATCCCCCCCCCCACGCGCGCATGCACACGCACGCACTCTTCGGACGAAATCAAAAATGCGTGCGGAGTGGCGGGTCTACAAAGTGGCGGTGTGACACGTGGCTGTCCCCCCCCCCCCGGCTGCCCCTCCCCCCTAACCCCAGTCACCCCCCCCCCGGCTGCCCCTCCCCCCTAACCCCAGTCCCCCCCCCCCCGGCTGCCCCTCCCCCCTAACCCCAGTCCCCCCCCCCCCGGCTGCCCCTCCCCCCTAACCCCAGTCCCCCCCCCCCGGCTGCCCCTCCCCCCTAACCCCAGTCCCCCCCCCGGCTGCCCCTCCCCCCTAACCCCAGTCCCCCCTAACCCCAGTCCCCCCCCAATCCGCCCCCTACCCACCTTCATGTCGCCTGTGTCGTGGTTAAACGCGTAGGTGTGGGGCTTGTGGTAGACGCGTACGGGACCTTGCGACACAAAAGGGAAACACGGCAATTAAATGTGCAGCAGTGCCGCTCGCTCGCTCGCTCATTGATTTCTGTTTTCCTTTCATATTCAAGCTTTCATTTGTCAGGTTTTATTCTTTTTAGATCGCTCGCTTTCTCTGCACTCAAAGGGAGGTTGTTATTGTATTCTTAAACGAGAGATGGGATGGTTGATTATCATCGTTAGGATGATGAATAGGATGAATAGTAAGGTGATTATGATAATGAGGAGGATGAATTGGGAGGTGTAACATGCTGACAATGATTGTGGCAGTGGTGACGGTGGTGGCAGTGGTGACGATGGTAGTGGTGGTAGCGGTGGTTGTAAGGTTGGTAGTGGTGGTGGTGGCGATGGTGGTGGTGAGACAGTGGCAATGATGGTGATGGCGGTAGGTTGTAGTGTTGATAGAGTTGGCAGTGGTGTTGGTAATGGTGGTAATGCTGGCAATCGTGGTGATGGTGATGATAGTGGTGGTGGTTATGATGATCGCAGTAGTGGTAATAATGATAATGATGACGGTAGCTGTGACGACAATGATAATGATGCTTGTGGTAATGATACAAAGATAATAGCGGTAGTGGTGGCGATGATTACGATGATTGATGATGGGGGTGCCGATGGAAGCCGCTCACTGAAAGGCCGTGCAGAAGTCCTCGAAGTGAATCCACGCGTCGCTCTTGTCCCTCGGGTCTCTGGTTGCTTGGGTCTCATCAGCAGGGCCGGGCTTCCCCCCTCCCGTTCATGGTGTCCTGCGGCACTGGGCTCTCAACGGGACCTGCGGCGAAGGTGGTGGGGTCGTGGGGGTGGTGAGGAGGGCGATGGTGGGGTGAGGACAGTGAATACCCAGCTGTGTATAATAGTTTTATTTATCACGCTTGTTTACCCAGGAAAGCAACGCTGAGTCTCACGATTTGTTTTCAGGAGGGTCCTGCCAAGTTAAGTTTTTATTTTTTATCGCTATGTATGGGGCGATGATTGCTATGTATAATCCTAACCGAGTAATTTTTATGGATTCAATTGTCAATCTCGATTTGAAGCTTTTCGTGACTGCAGGAATCCATACTCTTTGGTTCTTTCGGTAAAGTCACGTGGGTATAAAATAATAATGAATCACGGCACAACACAAGCGTGTTGATGACGGACGCTTGTGTTGCAACCGAAACGTCGCGATTTATTTATTTTATACCTACGTGACTTTACCGAAAGAACCAAAGAGTATTAATTTTTCAAATTTGCCAAAAAGTTGGGACCATGACGCCGGCACACAATGGGCCTGCTTGTTTCGAACAACGTCACCGGATCTTTAACGTCCCCTGCGAGCGAAGCGGACGGCCCTGAGGTATTTTCACGTTTCGAACGCCCCCGGTATTAACCAGGGCTGCCGCCGGAGTCGAACCGTGAAGCTCTGCAACAAGGTCCAGCTCTGGTCAACCTCGCCACCTTCAAGATCCCCTACAGACCCACCGTCCCACCCACCCCACCGACCAAATTTTTCCCCACCACCGCAATATGCCGCTCAACTCACTGCGGTGTAACCCATTTACACCGCTGGATGGGCAGTGTCCATTCGTAATCGAATGGGTACCCGTGCCGTCGAGATTATTACACAGGCGGCACAGAATCACGAGTGCCGTGCCTGCCCTCGTAGGTGCCCGCAAACAGCACTTGCCCCAAAAGTATGTGAAGGCTATACGGGGGATCTTTGTCTCGTGTAAGAACCAACTTTTTTTTCAGTTTAATCAAGGTCGTGCAGCCGTAACCTGGATTCTAACCCAATTCGCTGCCTCACCGTGCGCCGACATCGTATTAGTGCCCCTGAAGTCTCCGAGCCAGCGTGCGGTTACACCTCAAGTTATATTTTTAGTCTCGAGTTCAAAGTCTCCCCTCCCAGGGTTGCCTTGGGTTAGGGAGGGTGGATGGGGGAGGGAAGGGGGGGGGGGTTCTGGTGCCTGGCTGTAATCCACGGAGCGAGGAGGAGTCTTCGCTGCGAGGTTAGCCACGCGGCTCTTTCGCCTCTGCAAAATCACACCGCGCCGAATAGCAACCGCCCTGATTAGGAAGGGTCACGGGGGGTCACCGTGATTAAAGCGCCTCGACGGAGAGGGCGACACCGCTCCACACGCGGTCGAGAATTTCGCGTCCGCACGTTCGCGGGCGCGCATCGATCCGCTGCTGGATGATGGGTTCAACCCCCTTAACGCGCTGCGAAGTGAGCGGGTTGGCTGAAGCCTGTGGATTTTACAGGTGTGATAGCTGTACCGTATACGAGGATTTGAGAATTTAAAAGGTAGTAATAGGTTTTTACCCTTTCAACTGGTACAAAAACTGACACCTTTATACAAGGCATCATGTTTGCAATAACCACAACACAAGCAGTCAAAATGCAAACAAAAAGAAACAACTCTGATGATCATTATCATTATCATCATTATCATCATCAGAGTTGTTTCTTTTTGTTTGCATTTTGGCTGCTTGTGTTGTGGTTATTGCAAACATGATGCCTTGTATAAAGGTGTCAGTTTTTGTACCAGTTGAAAGGGTAAAAACTTATTACTATATTTTGCCACTGGTAAAGGAGGTCTCATAGTGAATTTAAAAGGTGCTAAAAAACGCTTAAACATGTTTTTAATTCAGCGGGTAATGCGCAATTAGATATACAGCTCGTTTTCAGAATGGGCCTCGCCACAAATGAAAGCTCAACGAAGTGGCTTATCGTCGTGTGGAAATGTAGAGCAGCCAAAAACTGTAAACGCGCGTCGGTTATAAATGTGGGGGGGAAAAAACGGATGACCCGGAGAAAAAAAAAACGTGACCACGGGGAGCGCGAGAAGACGCAAACTCTAGTTCCGATTGGATTCTTCATCCCCCGATGCCGATAGCAGAACGGGGATAAAATCGTAGGGATAGATTTAAAAGATCGCGGTCTTTGTTCTAATCCATAGAAGCGTACAAACACAACGGTACATCTTATTATTATACATCTCAGAAACAAGCTCATCGCTGGGCTGTGTGGATGGATCAATGCGAGGCAGACGCCTCATTACGGACAACGGGGGCTCTCACCTGCTACCACGGGGCTGGGCTCACGCTCGGGAAACTGAGGTTCCTGTTAAAGAGAGAGCAGAGGAGGACATAACGGCTCAAGGAGCGTGGGCGCCAACGCACAGCGAACAACACGAGCAGGCTTTTCACATCACGAGAGGGTGCTTTTTTTTGTTGCTTTGGGATTAACCCTTTCCCATTCCGATAACTTTATCGGTCGGAAGACGTAGCGATGCTCCCACAGGGCCATGCGAGAGTTTGTGCGGCGCAGTTTGGCGCCGGCTATCGTAGAGTTCTGTGCGGCTAGTAACAATGTCTTTTTAACACGGTAGGCTTTCGCGACCAATATCATCCACAAGAGGTTTTATTTTTTTTGGGTTAGATCACATAAATATATACATTTTTGATTTAAAGCTTTCGTGACTGCAGGGATTCATATTCTTGGTTCTTTCGGTAAAGTCGCGTAGAAGGGAAATAATAAAATAATATAAATATTAAACAATAAAAATGATCACGACGTTTCGACTGCAGTTTGTGTTGCAGTCGAAACGTCGTGAAAATTTTTATTGTTTTATATTTATATTATTTTATTATTTCCCTTCTACGTGACTTTACCGAAAGAACCAAGAATATAATATATACATGTTCTGTTTACATGACAACCCTTACTAGTTGGCTGTGGATGCGGGTTTAATGACACATTTATATATTTACGCGATCTAACCCAAACAAAACCTCTATTATAGAACAATGTCTTTAAAAACGACGGCGCTACTACGCCTCTCAAAATAAAATAAAACGCTCAAGCCGCCTGCGCGTTCCGAGATTCAGCGGAGATCGTGACACCGCAAACCCCCTGCGGATTGCAGACGTCTCGAAACGGGAGAGGGTTAAATGGACGGGAGATGACTTCGCAGACAACAGCGCCATCGTTACTGGCGCCATTGTTACCCACCGCTACCATTACCCAGAGCGATGATACTGGACAAAAGGTCCCATTTTGTAGCTGCTCACCCCGAGCTATAAATGCTCCGATGGTGCATTGTCTTTGTGCTGTTCGCATTTTGACGTTCTCTCGTCTGACGATGGTGATGAGGATAGGCCCTAAAGAAGGCTGCTGTCTCTGGTTGTAGGCCAATCGGTTTCAAAGACAATGCAGAAATTAGAGCATGTTTTAATTTGGTTTTTTTCAGGTAAAGTCACGTAGGTAAAAATAAAATAAATGAAAACTAACTAAATTAAATCACGACGTTTCGGAGGCAACACGAGCTTCCGTCTTCAGGTGGAACCGTTACAGCTAAAGTCACTGCGATTTAAATTGGTTGTTTCATTTATTTGATTAATTTTTACCTACGTGACTTTACCGAAAAAACCAAAGAGTATGAATCCATGCAGTCACGAAAGCTTCAAATCTAGAATTCATGTTTTCTTTGCATGTTCACCACAAGTACGTGTGGTTAATGCAGATTTTATACCGTGCGAAAGATTTCTATTTGGTGTTTGAACATCTTAAACCCTCCTGTTTTCTTGCCAGAAAGGGTAAACCTATTCTTATTTTATCACGCCGTGAACAAGATGCCGTCGCCTGTACGTCGCTTGTATATTTTTGTTCCCTTTTAAAGGCCACACACACGGTGTTATTGACGGGTGCGTTGAGGTTTTTTTTTTGTTGCTCAGCAAAGTCTCAGTGAGTCTCAAAACCACGTGTTGTAGGAGGGCTCTGCTACGCTGAGATGTTTGGCCAATTCCATGATAACGGTTGTGGGTTTTTTTTCTCCGTTGTTAGATCGCGTTAATGAAACTGTGTCGTGTGCCCACCTCCACCTGACACAGCCAATTAGTAAGGTTTGTCACGTGAACAGAACGTGCCAATTTGTTACCACTTCAGCACACTGCTCAACTGTCGACATTTTAAGGCACTTTGTTGAACTAGTATTCAGACGCTGTCTTTCCGACAGACCTGTTCTTCACCTGAGGACGGCTGCTTGCGTTGTGGCCGAAACGTCGTGAGAATTGTATTTTATTATGTTTTATTTTTATTATTTTATTATTTCCCTTCTACGTGACTTTACCGAAAGAACCAAGAAGGCTATCATTCGTGGTCAGGTCGTTTCTGAAAACAAAATAATAATAGTTCAGTGGGCTGTACCTGGTAAAATTATTTTTGTTTGTTAGTTTTGTCATTTGCTTACCGTTTCCATACTTACCACTCCGATCGTGTTTTTGTATTGTTTGTTGTTGTCATTTTTCTGACCTGCCTCTACGGGACATCCGTGAACGAGCTTTGTAGCCCATCGGATTCCTCCAGTTTAAATACACATTCTGATTCTGATTCAAAACATTTTACAACTGAGTACGACGTCTTGCTGGCGATTGCAACCGGCATCATCAGGCGTTTGCCAGAATTGTGTGGGGAAGTCAACAGTGGCTGTCCTGAATCACATTGGTCGCCGCGAAAAGCATGCACCTAAAATGTGGCCAATTCCGTTCGTGAAAGTTTGGCTTCGTGTGGGGGGAGACCAGACAGTCGCCATCACCACCATCCACGGTCGATCTACTCCGCTCAGCGGCAGAGTGAGCGGCTCACAATTGGAAAGGTCGCGAGGTCAAATCCTGGTTGGTGGTCTACTCGGCCCATCATCCCTCTGGGCTCACATTTTTTAAATAAACACTTTGTAGGGAAGTTGACCATGTAAGGCCCACTGAGCTATATAGATTTATTTTCAGAAGCGACCTGGCTATCACAAATGAAAGCTCAGTGAAGTGGCTTATCGCGTGGAAATTTAAAGCAGCCAAATACTCTGAACGCGTGTTGTCGATTTTAAATGCGGAACGAAAAAAACCCGGAGAAAATCTACACGACCACGGGGAGAGAGAGACGCGCAAACTCCAAATGCACAGCAGGCGTCACGGTTAGGATTGAACCGACAACCTCCTGTATACCAAGCGAGGTAGTTAACATCTCACCACCGTGGCTGTCCTATGGAAAGACTCGTCCCCCCGCCATAGTAATGTGGAATATTCCACCCATGGCTCAGGCAGGGGCTATAATCAGACGTTTCTTCTCATGGTGCAAGGCGAGTATGTGTAAACTACACGTCCAGGCACGAGCGTTGGGAGCCGTGCGAAAACAGCTTCTGCATTAGTGCCACTAGCGCTCTCCTTGGCACCGTTTTGCAAGTTTCAAAGTATGAAAAATAAGAACAGGTTTTTTACTCTTTCTGGCAATAAAACATGTGTTAAGACGTCCAAATAGATACATTTTGCAAGGAATCAAAGTCTGCGCTAACTACATGTACTTGTGGCAAAACATGCAAGGGTATCCAGAAAGGGTAAAAACCCATTATTTTTCATAACGCTGCCCAGTCCGCTGGGGGACTGCGGGCCCAATCGACTGATGCCATCGATGATCGCGATGTGGTGCACGGTATGGTTCTGGTGGCCGTGGTCCCTGCACCGTGGGGGTGAGAGGGGGGGCCCCTGCCCACCCCCCCCCCACCACGCGTAGAAGAGAGAGGTGCGAGCAGCAGCGACGTCAACCGCCGTTCCGAGGCGGTTGAAGGGAGCCGCCACGGTTTTCCGGGCGGAACAAAAGCGCGTGGGGAGCAGCGGTGGGGCCTTCGATGAGCGTGTTGGCTAGGAACCCCTCGGGGTTGGCGGACGGCGGCCTTCCCCGAGCGTCGTCTCACCGCGCCAACTCACGCCGTCGTTCTCGTTCGCGCAAGTTGATCGCCTTGACGTTGAATCCGGCGCTGGGTGATCCCGCGAAGCTTCGTTCCCTCTCTCGTTCTCCGTCCCTCACGGTCCCGCGGCGTTCGAATCTCCCCCCCCCCCCCGCCGTCGTTTGCTCCGCTAAAGGAAAAATCCCTTTCCCCGACGCTCAACGGCACCACTTTCATCCTTCGGCTGAGAGGCAGCCAACAACGCGCATCTCGCTCCACGTGGGAAGTCGCTGCGGCGGCGGCGGTGGCGGCGTGCCGTGAAACTGTCCCCGCGGACATCGGCAGAGGCGAGCGGCGCTCGTAATTGTGAGCGAGAGGAAGGGGCGCTCAGCCGACGCCGCCACCATTACTTCGCTTCGGTTCCTTGGGGCCCACGGGGCCAAAAAATGGCTTATCCGGTACCTGCCAGGATGGCAAAAGCTACCAATGATTTTATTGAGCCATTTTATCTCTCGACCACGAGTACCTGCGGTAGCAAGCACTGCGCGGTAGCTTCGCTCTTCACGTGCCCAAAGAAGGGGACCGTAAAAGGTTAGGTAGAAATGTTCGTATTGGGGGAAAAGCGAATTTGATATGAAACATCTGGGGAATTAGACAACTAAGAAGTGTGTGTGTGTGTGTGTATAACAGGCAGTACATACGCACAGACTTCTGTTCATGTTGGACACTGCCCAAGGCAAACATGGCCCATGGTGGACACTCCTCATGGTGGAAAGTGGTAGCATTTGCCACCCCAGGTGGTACCGACGAAACCCCTTGGCTCATGGGCTGCTTGTCACCGTGTGTGCAGTGTGTGTGTGTGTGTGCATCCGTGTGTATGTCCATGTGTGCGCGCGCGCGTGTGTGTGCATGTATGTCAGTGGGGAGTGATAGTGTAGCGGTTAGCATGCTGTGCTACGAACACGGCGACCCGAGTTCGATTCCCGCTCAAGGCCAACACCAGTGACGATTATCCGAACCTATCCTGGGTCTCCACCCCTAGGTAGACTCAGCCTCAATTGAGTGCTTGGTGCGATGTGTAAAAATATTTCCACTGGGGAGACAAAGGCGGCCAGGTGTAGTGCTGGCCATCCACCCCCTCGTGTGCAGTTCTGGCCTTCATAGGTGCTCGCTAACAGCACTTGCCCCAACAGTCTGTTGGGGCTATACGGGGGATCTCTGTCTTTTTTGTATGTCAATATGCATCTTTGGTGGAGCAGTGACGGAGTGATTAGCGTACTGAGCTACAAACCCAGTAGCAAGCTCAGACCCATTCCACGTAACAGCTGATATTAGTAGCCAGTTATGTTGGAACCGGTCCTCCGTGTCAGCCATGTCGGCCTAAACAGGCGCTCGCTAACAG